GGCTTATAGTACTCTAAAGAGGGCAGATATTATCAGAAAGCAAAGAACAATATTTCCAGGATTTGTTATATGTCAGATTTTGCCATATAGGAACATATTCAAAAAAAGAATACAAAGGGTAAAGATCATTTTATGGGGAAAGTCATTTTAGAAAAATGAACCCCAAAATTGTACTCCCAATATTTGACTGATAGAATCTGAGTCTACTAATTTTATATTTGCTTTATAGGGTAAATTTTATTTGTAAAATTAAACAGAAGCAACTCATGGAAAGAAACACAGACATTTGTATTGAATAAAACAAAGATGGATACTATATTTATTTATTTATTTATTTATTGTTTGTTTGTTTGTTTATTGTTTATATTTATATATCGCCCTTCTCCCGAAGGACTCGGGGCAGTGAACAGCCAACAGATAAAACACAAGAAATACAAAATTTAAAAACAGTATTAAAATCTGATTTATATTCATTTTGCCATCCATCCATGGTAAAAATCTAGATAAATATTTCTCCTGACCATTGTAGAAAGTCAGCACCCACCCACCTTCCTAGAGAATGAAATATTTTGGGGAATATTAAAAAGGCAGGATAGAATGTTTCCCCTAAAGGACAAATGGGAAAAAATATTAAGGGAGGCAGAAGCCAGTACCAGACTTCCTGCCCCAAGCAGAAACTGAGGAGGCAAGCTTTTAGAAATACAGATTTGGTAATTCATTCAGAAAGACTGGGTCGGACAGAAACTCCAGATAAGCAAGTAGGCAAGACAGGATTAGCTCAGACAAACACCTAGGATTTGCATTTACCTTTTTGCCTATAGAGCCAGCCATGACCCCTACATGACTCCATAGAAATCAAAAAGGTATAAAAACCCACCCTACTCTCGATTCCATTTTGTCAGCTGTCCCAGAATTGCACGCTGTGTGTGTGTTGCTCTGTTTACCAATAAACAGACTCTTTCTTTCCAATCAGCCTCCATTTTATTCCTGGCTCAGAACTGGACCTGGATTTTTCATCCAACACCATGCTGCCTGGGGAATCCTGGGAGTTAAAGTCCACATATCTTAAAGTTGCTAAGATTGAGAAACACTGCTCTAGATGATTACTAGAAGACAGCAGAGCAGGGGTGAAATCCAGGAGGTTCTGACAGGTTCTGGAGAACTGGTAGCGGAAATTTTGAGTAGTTCAGAGAACTGGTAGCGGAAATTTTGAGTAGTTCAGAGAACCAGCAAATACCACCTCTGGCTGGCCCCAGAGTGGGGTGGGAATGGAGATTTTGCAGTATCCTTCCCTTGCCATGTCCACCAAGCCACGCCCACAGAACAGATAGTAAAAAAAATTGAATTTCACCACTGCAGTAGAGAGTTAGTTAATTTCTGTAGTTCTTTGCTGCCATCTAGTAGCTGCCCTGGTCAATGTGCCCGAAGCTCATTGCTGAACTCTCCTGCTACTTGCTTCTTTTTTAAAACAATTTTTATTAAAAATTTTAAACATAAGATAAATTTTAAACATAAATAAAACATAAATTTTAAACAAAGATGAAAACTAACACAAACTAATAGGCAGTAAGCAAGGGAAAAGAAAGAAATTAAAAAGCAAAAATGTCAGAAAAGGAAAAAGTTAAGAAACATAGAAAAGGAAGAAAAAAGTATATAGTGACTTCCGATATTCTTCACAGCAATTACAAGTACAAATATAGTTTAACATCTCTCTCCAAAGTTACATCGTATTACTCTTCTTTCTATAATTTATTCTGTCTAATCATCAAAACTGTAAATCATAAATTCATTTTTTTTCATTTTTATGCAAAAAGTCTGTAAGAGATTTCCAGTCAGCAATAAATGTACACAATTAACCAAATAAGTTAATTTATCCATTTCAGCAAATTCTGTCAACTTCATCAACTGTTCCTCCAAAGGGGATAATTTCTTTACATCTCTGTACATACCATAATCTTGCTGCTGTGATCATGTATTGAAATAATCTTCCACGGCTTTTTTCTAACTGCTTCTTTATTAACTCTAAAAAAAAACGTTCTGGCTCCAGTTGAATATTGAGCTTTAAAATCCTCTGTATCAAATTGCATATTTGTATCCAATTTTTCTTAGCTTTTTTACATGTTCATCAATGAATTCATGTCATTTACATTTCCAACATGCATTTGAAATGCCTTTAAACATTCTAGATAATTTCTCTGGCGCCATGTACCAACAGTACCTCATTTTATTAAAAATTTGCTTTGGGATCATAATACAATGTAAATTTCAACCTCTTTAACTACTTATTTTCTCCTTGATCCATTTATATGATAACCAAAATTCTTAGCCCACTTTATCATACATTCTTTAGTCAAATTTCAACAAAACGGTACATTTTAGCAATTACATGCTCATCATGAGTACCATATGGCATTTCAAATTCTGACTTAACTCTGCTCCATGTCACAAGTCTTATCCATTTGAAATCTTTCAAATAACTGTAAATTGGAGTACCATTGACATCTATATCATTCTGCTATTAATTGTTCTCTTGATTTGATTTTATATTCCCCATGGATATTAATTTTCCAATAAGTCCTGGTATATCAACCATTTACCTTTATTGGCCATTTCTCTTCTGTAATATGCTTCTTGAGCTGAGATCCACAAAGACATTTGGATTTATATCTGGGTTTATATCTATTCCATATTTTCAATATGGCATGTCTAATCAAATAATGTTATCATCTCATAACTACCCATGCCATCCAAACCTTGGGTCATGAACTTCTAACTTTAAAAGTCTCTCTTTTCTCAGTAAATCCATTCTTTTATTTAGACCAAACAACAAGCAGCACTGAATATGCTGCAGAGGATTTCCAAGTATTTGGAAAGTCTTTTTTTTCAGACTTGAAGGTCTGGCCAGAGACGCTATTCCTAGGTCCCAGAAGTCACCACCACTTCTGCCTTGACTTTATCACACTGAGTTATTATAGTTAACATATTTTCTTATGGGATTTTATTAATTTGCAGTGGTTGTTTATACTTGTGTGAACTGGATTTCTTTGACTTGTATATTGTATTTACTAACATACATACATCTTTTTCATGTTTATATTAATGGATAGATTTATAAACAATTCCTCACATGTTTATGCTTGCTTGTGATACTTTCTGTATGGTTCCCAGAGATGGATTACATAAATCTAAATAACCATTAGATACTAGCATCTAAGAAGGTATTTTTCTATATCTCTTGGCTGCCATCTAGAAGTCACCTGCAGCTGGGTAACTCAGATCAGGTACCCCAAAACAGGTAAAGGACTGAGGGCTGAAGAGAGCTGGGGCTTCAGACTGAGCCATGTATTTATATTAATCACTTGGTGAATGCAAGATCAAATGATAACCTCTAATTTTGTAATAGACATAATTTAACAAATACTGATGATAGAACTTTCATTATATATCCACACATAGAGTGTTATCTAGTAGTGGTTAAGGCAGTTGTTCTTAAACTGGGGGTAATTTGGGCATTTCCTGGAGCAATTTGTAGATGCTTGTTTGTGAGTGGAAGGTCCAGTTTGAGACTGCTGCCGCCGAGATGCTTGTATAAAACAAAGGATGTTAGAACTGAAGAAGCTTCTTGGATGAGAAGCAAAACATCTTCAAGGCAAAACAAAGTCCAGTTGCCTTTTGAAAAAGCACCTTTGGGACAACCACAACCTGGATGTCTGAGAATCTCCATAGACATGGGACAAGGGAATTGCTCCGGAGTTCCTGAAGGAAATATGGACATAATCTAACAAACAAATTAAAAAGAAACAATATGTTATGTATTAAGCCCCATAAGATGTGTGTATAGATGCACTTAAAGAGGTAGCAGATGAGGACATTTTCTCTACCATGTTGTCATTTGGTCTGCTTTGGTTAGTGACTAATTATTATGTCAGAGTTAACAAGCCATATCATTTGGGGGTAGCAGCAGTAGTCCACAGCAGATGGCTGTATTTCTTGGGAACCAATCTCTAGGACCCAGTGAAAAAGGAAAACAAACGAACAAACAAAACTAGAAGCTTCTTTGGATCAATAGTCTGCATGTTATCAGGGATGCTAAAGTTTACTCTCCCTTTTTCTCTTTGTCTCTAAGCTCTCTGGTCCTTTTAAGTTAGCATCTTCTCTCTGCAGGTAAGGAAGGGCACCACAAACAGGAAGCTTGTTATGTATTCCTTGCATGTCTAACTGCAGAACCAATTGTAAGCTGCTGTACTCAAGCCTCCCCCCCACCCGCTCCCCGCTAGGTTCAGTAGAGGTTTACCTCAAACTGTGAAAATGGATGCTTCATATTTCAACTAAAAGGGGTAAATCAAACAAGGCCTTCTCCATGCACGGATCCATGTTTCCAAAATGATGCCAGACATTCTGTAGCATTGGAAATGCTTCACACATCTGGCCTGGTGATACTTTCATCCAGGTCTGCCTTACATTCATTTTCCTAATATGGTTCTCTCTCTCTCTCTCTCTCTCTCTCTCTCTCTCTCTCACACACACACACACACCCCGCTATGATCTCAATAGAGCTTTGATGGTCAAACCTATTTGCATGAGACATCATTCTCCCTTCCCTGTAATGCAATGCAAGAATTCAGGAAATGCTGAGCTATACCACGAGGTCTGGGAGAAAGGAGCTATTGGATATATATGAATGATAGATGACACTAAAACAGGAGGCATTTTAAAGGAATCGGTGGGATTAAGATGTGGATTTCTGTAGGACAGCTAAAATAAAAATTCAGCTGCTGGGGCTATGGTTTAAATTGATACCTCTATGATTTTGGGTAATTATGAAGTGGAGATAAAAAATACCAAAAACAAATCTAACATCAAGTTGCATGTGTTTTTGTTCCATTTTGTGCATCTAAGGGTTGTAAGCTATCTCTACCATTTTGCATTCAGAAATATTGCCTTAAAAACCTTCCATTCCCAAGGGGGCTGGATTCTCTTAGCAATTCAAAACAGAAGGAGGAGGGAGGAGGAGAGCGAAAGAGGGAGGGCAAGAAAGGAGCATCTCATTGCCTCTGATGACTTTGTGTTGGCAACCAAGGGGTTAAGAATAACAGTTGAAGGCTGCAAGCTTGTCAGGGTTGTACTATTTTTCTAAGGCATAAGAAGAAGGGAGGTTAGGAGAGAGGAGGCAGTGGGGAAATCCAACAGAAGTCGATCTGCAGATAAGCCTTCTAGACTATTGGTATTGATGGGCATCCAGAAAAAGGACAGGTCAGCTGCATGAAAAAATATCTCTCTCTTAGGAACTCGGATGAAAAAGCAGTGTTTTACTTGCCTCCCCTGCCTTCATTCTTGCATCCTGGCTGTGAGTGAGGAAGGAGGGCAGCTGTCTTCTGTGGAGGATTGGAAGCCAGGGAGTTTCTCCTGGGAAGGAGAAAGCCTTCGGTTGTTCTTATGAACAACAAGAATTAAAAACCGTGTCCTGAGAGAAGAGGGCGGGATAGCAGCCTGTGGCTCTAAGGGCACTGAGCATCCCCTCCCAGAAGTCTAACCAGAGGCAGGAGGACTGGTGATGCAGCATCCAGCGAAGGGCAGGGCAACCCCAGGAATGGGGCTTGGGGGCTGAGATCTTGAGAGCACATGGGATATTCTTCAGGTGCTCAGAAGCAAAACATCCCCAGTCATGTCCTACATGCCAAATGAAGTCCAGTGCTTCTTTGATGGGAACCCGGACGCAGCTGGCTGAGCAATGCATGGCAGAGCCCACGATGCTCTGTTTTTTTTCCTGAAAAGAAGCTCAGTGGAGGCTACACTGCAGCGGACTCTGCAACAGCAAACAGCACCGATGCCAAATGGTGTGTAGACTCCTGCCACTGCAATGTGTGTGTGTGTGTGTGTGTGTGTGTGTGTGTGTGTGTGTGTGTATGTGCATGGTGTGTAGGGAAGAGGGAGAGATTTTGAGGGGGGGGGAAAGGTGTATCTCTATTTTTCATGCTGTCACAATTGCTTCTCTTGTTTTACCCAGGATAATGAGAGCCTGTAATGTAACTCAGTGTGTAAAGGGCTGCATTTAACAACTGAATCTGTATCAATGCTGTTTTATAGCCCTTCCTGTTTTAGCAAATAGCTGGTTTCCAAGCAATGTCATATTTCTTGAGGACACCGGGGACATCAGGTTTTTGCTGAGTATGGGATCTTCCCACTATCATAAAGAAAGGTTTTCAGTTCATATAGACACTGCCTTAAAGAAAAGGGCTGGAGTCCTCTCTTTTATTAAGCAACCCCTACTTCAGTATTAGACATAGCTTCCACTTTCAAGACCCTTCCTTCCTTCCTTCCTTCCTTCCTTCCTTCCTTCCTTCCTTCCTTCCTCCCTCCCTCCCTCCCTCCCTCCCTCCCTCCCTGACTCAACACATTGCTAGAGGAACTTAGGAGACTCTTGGAAACACGGATCTCTGTGGTTCTCTCTAAGGTCAGATAATCAGTTTCAGAGACTGAGGTAATGTGAATTGTTTTTCCAATGCTGTTCTTTCATTGGCAATGACAGAAGATGAACTATTCAGAACTGCAGCAAGAGCACAGGGAGACCTTGCAAAGACAATGGAAAGAAGTAGGAAGAGAAGGAGAGAGAGAGGCTGGGTTGTACAACTGAGAAGTTAAAATCTAGAATGCACTATGTTAAAGATGCACTCCAGTGTTTGACATAACAGCTTAACTTAACCTCTTAACCATCAGGCCAATTCCTCAAGGTGAATGCTGAGTCTCAGGTGCTGTGTGGGTTATCTTACTGCTTTAGTGCAGGGAATGAAGCCTGATAGGACTTTGAAGCTCTTAGAATATGCTGCAATGTTTGGGATAAACAGTGCTATTATTTGCTACTTGCCAGTTAGAAAGCTTTCTGTATTTCTTCTGATATCTTTATTTTCTTAAATGATATATAGCTTTTGCATGATTTGAGATCAGAGGCCTTCTTCAAGTAATACAGACCAAATAAATTCAATTGACATTTTGTACATGGAATGTACACACAGTTGGCTAAAAGTGTGAGAGAAAATGCTCATATTATTCTTTCTTTATTTTTCAGCTGAAAGACTATTTTCACGAACTCCCTGTTTTCATGAACTACATCAAAGCCCATGTGCATAACTTTCCAGTGGATATTAGAATCTCAGTGAACATCTCCCAGCCACCAGATAGTCATAAAAGTTTTGATTAAAACTGCCTAAATATGACTGTTGCTACTGGAGATCCCACAGATGAAGCAGCAGCTTTGCCTGGTCATCCTCAGGACACTTATAACCCAGAAACTGATCATGAATGTTGTGAGAGAGTGGTTATTAATATCTCAGGCCTTCGGTTTGAAACACAACTTAAGACACTTGCTCAGTTCCCAGAGACCTTATTGGGAGATCCTAAAAAGAGAATGAGATATTTTGATCCTCTCCGGAATGAATATTTCTTTGACCGAAACAGACCCAGCTTTGATGCTATTTTATATTACTACCAATCAGGTGGCAGACTGAGAAGGCCCGTTAATGTACCCTTGGACATCTTCTCAGAAGAAATAAGGTTTTATGAACTTGGTGAAGAAGCTATGGAGATGTTTCGGGAGGATGAAGGTTACATCAAGGAAGAAGAAAGGCCTTTACCGGAAAATGAATTTCAGAGACAAGTATGGCTTCTCTTTGAATACCCAGAAAGTTCTGGACCAGCCAGGATTATAGCAATTGTCTCAGTCATGGTCATCCTAATCTCTATAGTAAGTTTCTGTTTAGAAACTTTGCCTGTGTTCCGTGATGACACTGAAGACTTGCTTGGTAGCAGTAGCAACCCCAGTTCCAACAGCACAAAGGGGTCTCAACAGCAAACATCTTTCACAGACCCCTTCTTTATAGTAGAAACACTCTGCATAATTTGGTTCTCCTTTGAATTCCTGGTGAGATTCTTTGCCTGCCCTAGCAAAGCTGGGTTTTTTACCAATATCATGAACATCATTGATATTGTTGCTATTATTCCGTACTTCATCACACTTGGCACAGAGCTGGCTGAGAAACCAGAAGACGGCCAACAAGGTCAACAGGCTATGTCTCTTGCTATCCTTCGAGTCATCCGCTTGGTGAGGGTGTTCAGGATCTTCAAACTTTCCAGACACTCCAAGGGATTGCAAATCCTGGGACAGACTCTTAAGGCCAGCATGAGGGAGCTAGGCCTCTTGATATTTTTCCTCTTCATTGGTGTCATCCTGTTCTCCAGCGCTGTCTATTTTGCAGAGGCTGATGAGGGTGACTCTCAGTTCCCAAGCATCCCCGATGCTTTTTGGTGGGCTGTGGTTTCCATGACGACAGTTGGCTATGGAGACATGGTCCCCACGACCATAGGTGGAAAAATAGTTGGCTCCTTGTGTGCCATTGCAGGTGTACTAACAATTGCCTTACCAGTGCCGGTTATAGTGTCCAATTTCAACTACTTCTATCACCGTGAGACAGAAGGAGAGGAGCAAGCTCAATACTTGCAAGTAACCAGCTGCCCAAAGATCCCTTCTTCCCCTGACCTAAAGAAAAGCAGAAGTGCCTCCACTATTAGTAAGTCTGATTATATGGAGATACAAGAAGGTGTGAATAATAGCAATGAGGACTTTAGAGAGGAGAACTTGAAAACAGCCAATTGCACCCTAGCTAACACAAACTATGTTAATATAACTAAAATGTTAACTGATGTCTAGCTAATAAAAAGGAGAGAACCCTAATAATATACTTAAAATTCAAGTGGAACATTTGCAGATGTTGCATAATACCTTGCACTGTAGTTAATACAATATGTTCTGCAACATGTATTGGTTCTGCATGGAAAGCAATAGTTGTGTAAGTGACTCTTTTTAACACTGAATGCTGAATAAGCTTTCATGCAATTTTTTTTTCTAATACAGTTTTCTGGGTTTCCAAATATATCAAAAATTTAAGGCAAAACTATGTCACAATATCAGATGAATGGCATTGAAGAAAAACAAAACCCACAATCTCTTCATGTCACCAACAGTTATTCACAGATGCCAATTAGATAAACATAATTTAAAATATAGAACTCAATCCATGCAAAAGAATATTTATTCCAAGGAAATAGTATGCAACTATATAGCTTTCAAGCTTCAGAAATTATACAAAAGGTCATGCATGGTTTAATTAAAGGAAATATTTCTCCAAATTACTTTTTAAAGTTCAGGTTTTCCAGATCAGAAATGCCAGTGAGAGACTGTACCATGCAGGTTATGCTTCTGAACCAAAAATGCTGCATTGGATACATCTACTGCAGCATGTCACAGTGTGAGGATTGCAGGAGGCACTGTTTGGTAGAAAAATTTTGTTGTTGTTGTTTCTTTAGTCGAGACTCACCAGGATCCTGGAGACATTTCTTTTTAAAAAGCATACATTTTTGTTGGGGTTTTTTTTGGAGGGGGTGTCACCTACATATGCAGAACTGAAAAGCATTTTGTTTCAAATGCTGGAGCAAATAAGCTGTGGCCTAGAATATATTTATTCTGCAGAGACATTTAACCAGTATTACAGTACAGCTGCATGGATATTTGTTGCATGGATCTTAATATTTATTACATAAAATATATCTATTTTCTTAAGTAGACTATAGAGTATACTTGTTTATAGTGATTCTAGATTGTCCAGTGGCTTGAAGGAAATTCATGGACATCAAAAAAAAAAAAGAAAAGAAAAACTAAAGCAATTGAGTTGGGGAAGGATGTATGCTGACCAGTAATGTGATATGCAAGAAAAATGCCCAAAATGTTTGTTTGCTTGAGTAGGCAAACCAGCTAAGGTAATATGAATCATATACGTCATATATATATATCGAGAACCCGGTAATGGATTCATTGTGATGTCATATATAGAGACATGGCTGACCAGAAATGGGGAAAAAATATTTGTAATGAAAGGATCTCTGGTGACAGTGTCAAACAAATGTTAACTAAACATTTGATATCTAAATATAAAAGATTGGAGCACACAGAGATTGCTTGAAGTATTTAACTGTGCAGAACCTTGAGATTCAAAAGTAAGATGCAAAGGTACAGCATACCTTCCTCTCAATCTGCATCAAATCTGGTATTTAGTCTGAAATGCATTTTCATAAGAGGATGGGTTTATGCAATAAAGCCAGCCCAAGGCCATTCATTTGGATACAGAATAGCTTTCCTTTGAAAATGTCCTAATAGAGCTGCACCACATGGCTATAGCAGAGGAAGAGTTGACCATATCTTAATATGTGCCAATGTGCAGCTTGAAAGTTGATGTTTCCTTTGGAATGTTCTCATGCAATGGATTCACTGTTCTCAAGATTAGAGTAAAAACGGTCCATATTTGGCTCTTAGAATCTTTGGAAAAAACACCCAAGTATAACGTGATAAGAGAACTTTGGCCAACTTCACACCTCAAGCTGGATTAACTGCTTTCCATTAAGGAGGCAACGGCTTCTTCTACATGGACTTCTCTTCAAAGGTTGGCATCTTGGATTTGTACCCTGTTGATGCTGCAGTTGCAACCCTCAAGGGGCTGGATAGTTCTTCAATAAAAGGCAATTCTGCGATCAACATTCCAGGGAAGATACATTTGCAACAAATAACAATAATGAGATAATGATGCCTGTGAGCAAATCCTCTGCTCATCACTTGCAAATCCTATACTGCCTTGTGTGATTTGGCCCTGAGGTTGTTTGAAGACTCATGACAGCCCCAAATTCTGAGCTGCTAAACTTTTACCTATGTAATATGCATTCACATATCTTTGATGCTGGTTTAGACCTTTAGAAAATGTTGTTCAGTTGTTACAGCAACTGAAATTCCCAACAAGAAAAGGCAGTTAGATCCTGTAAGTGATTTGGGGTTTACTTTACTGATCCTATTCCTGCATTGACATGAATGAATGCAGTAAGAACTAAATCACATATTGAAAATATGAACTGAGTGCTCTGTAAAGAATTTGGCACATGATAAAGAGGTTGTATAGGTGTTTATGCCAGAAAACCAACTTGCTAGCAGCCCACTCAGTTCACATTTACCTATTGTGCTACAACTCAGCTCATGTTCTACAATTTTGCATGGGGAATATAGATTCATCTGCAAACTGGATATGTGCCAAAATAGTCATCCTGATTGCTTATATGTGTGTTAAACTCTGTACAAATCCATGCAACCTGCATAATCAACAAGCCACTTGGTTGATTCTGAGTGATATCTGTTTTATGCCAAGAGGGAAATATATCAGAACAATCTGATTTTAAACAGATTTTAAGAAATATATAAAATAGGTTTTACTGTTCCAGGAAAGACTTTGTTCAGCCTGTAGGAAAGCTAACATTGAATATAGCTGAATCTCTCTATGGCTAAGTATTGTTTAAATAACAATTGTTAAAATGTTGTTTACAACAGTAACAAAAATTTTTCCAGAAAAAATCTGGACAAAACTCAAATTTCTTGGTCTTTTTCCTACTTCTACTCCAGCCAAAGAAAGGTTATTCCATTTCATTTGGTCACGAAGACTGGAAGAAATAACTGAATAATATAAGAAGCCTTACTAACTATAAAAAGATCAGCAGCGGTGGTATTTATCAGGTAGTTTTGGTTTCTCCTTTATATTAATGGTAATAACGTGGACCATTATTACAGGATAGTGACGAATACCTTTGCATCACATCTCTAAGAACCTCTGTGCTAAATATGCCAGGAATTAAAAAAGCTAAGTTTGGAATATCCTTCATTGCAGTGAGGAGGAATAGAGTAATCCTTCCTGTTGCCTCAAGCTACTGTCAAAAATATTCTGTCTTTTCCACTGCGCCCCCCCCCCGCCCCTAATAAGGGAAGAAATATACTTGGTTAAAGATTCAAGCTGGTCTGCCCTCTATAATTCAGCAAATCAGTTTGTGCAAAAGTGTAGGGGAAAAGATTAATATCAGGAATTCTCACTTGGTTTAGTTCACATGTCAATATGGAGCAGAGATCCTCGGGTTCCAGAGAACAAGAAGAGGTCATCTTTATAACAGAAATATGAGAAGGAAGTCCAGTTCCACAGAAAGAAAAATCCTTACAATCCTTATTCCGATGCTATATTAGATAAACTCTTATTTCACTGAAATTCCCATTTTACTGAAATTCATTTGTTTCAGCATTTGATTTTGTACATTATTCAGTCTATTTTCAGGACTTTCCTTTTCTTCTGTCTGGAATGAAAAAAATGCTTTTTAATTCTTCCAAATAATATTGATTGTTTTACTATTGCAATTGCACATCTGCTAGAAGGAGAATTTCAAATATCACTGCCCTGAGTCCTTCGGGAGAAGGGCGGTATACAAATTTAAATAATAAATAAATAAATAAATAAATAAATAAAATATAGTGGACTCTGGTGGAGTCCAGAGTCCTCTGGCTACCTTGAATGGGCACCCCAGTCTGACTGCTTACAAAAGAATTTAGTGGCATCAAAAGTTAAGAGGCACCATGGTGCAAATTTGCCCCCCCCCCCCAAAAAAAAATTCATATCAGTTCATGTTAAAAACAGTAGTTGGGATAGTTAGTTGTCCTGATTATTCCATCTCATTTAACTATTCTTTACTATGCATCTGGATAAACTCTTTATTTGTATAGCAGTCAACTTGAGGTTTCAATATAGTGACTTTACAAAAGTTTCCATAGGTTGGCCAACTAATTACTAATATATCTGTTTATACCTGTGTGCTGAAGTGTTTTTCGGTAGCAATTTCTCTAGTTATTTATTTAAGATTAAAGGATTCCAGATGTTTTTAGTGCAGTGAGAATGAGAACAGAAGATACCCAGATGAATTGCAGTCAGCAAAACATTCTGTGGTGTCCAAGGTCAGATTAACTCTTAACGATGATTATTTTGACCTCTGTATTGCATCCCAGATGTAATGAAAATAACTTGAAGTTTACCATAGCAGCAGGATGCCATTGGGTCTTACTCAACAACACTGAAAGAGCTTTATCTTCTTGGAGGTTGAGGCACAGAGCTGCAACCATAGACACAGGAGGGGGAAGGAGCATAAGATACTACAAGATGGTTCAGATGACTAATGGAACAAGGATGATGTAATCTGCAGTTTTAAAATGAAACTTCCTCTCATTGTAATGAAGTGGCCAAAATACAGATTAAGGTGGAGTAAGATTAAGGTATCTTTGGGCAGGTGGAGAATTTCATGCCAAGAATTTACATTATATTTACATTTCCCTAGATCAAACTCAATTCCTGGTGCCCATGGGCCTATCTATGTTGTTGTCCTGGCAACAATACAGATGTTTTCCTAATTTCCCATCCAGTTTACTTTTCTGTATTTTTTGGCATTTTCTTATCCAAGCACTAACTTTGCTTAGTTTTTTCAGATTCGGCCAAGATCAGTCTAGATAGAACAATACATTGAGAGTTTAGCATTTGATAAGCAATAGCTTCAAATGCACTTGGAAGACTGTTGCATCACTCTGTCTGAATCTTTTAGAAAAGCACTGGCTATTACGGGACGGCTACCTAACTTGTTCCAAAGAGCAAGAAACCATACGAATAGCTCTACATGGATGATAACAGCTTGGAATGTCTTCATAGGAATCTCACACAGGTGATATAAACATGTATGAGAATCCTATTTTCTAATTTGTATTAGAGTCAACATGTGGAATATTCCCCTAATCTGCACTATTCTCTACATTGATTAGGTTTCTATAAAAATGACAATTGAGACAGGAATAGATAGGAGGAAAGGAAAATGAATTAGACTGGAAAGGAAGAAAAAGTAGGGGGAAAAATAATTCTTGTAAATTGAAGTTAAGTTCATCAGCCTTGTTCATCAGCCCTCCCAAGTAAACCAGACAGGAGACGTGACTAGATTAACTAATTTTACTTTATTGTAAGGCTACATTAACAGGAAATTGCAACTCTGATTTTGCACCACCACTCTTAACTGCTTGATCCATTTGGGCGGGTCCTTCCTAACTTTCTTTCTCTGATCATTAAGCCACTGGGGGCTCCTGCCTCTCATGTCTGATTGTTTCCTAGGCAGCATCTCTTCTCTCTTTCCCCCAGTCATCCATATGTTCCATTACATAGATATAGCGTGAACCATGAAATAACTTATTTCTGTATATCTTGAAAAAGACCTTGCATACTCTTGCAATGTCCAAATCCCATGTGGCTGAATGTACAATAGAAGATAACCTTCTTGTAATTCACACACTTGGTAGCTGAGTACTCATCTTCAGAAATGGCCCCATTTCTAAATCCTACTAAAACTTGAGTCATATCAAGTACAATAACAAATTTGTTGCAGTTGGCATCTGAATCCCCAGTATTTTATTATTATTTTTATCTCATCCAGTGAACATGAAGATATGAATAATGTTTGTTCCTTAAAACCATTTTTCTGTATGCATCAGAATAAAGCAAGAAGAAGTGGAAGCTAACAAAATATTGCAGGATAACAAAATTTCACTCCTATTCATTACATCATTCAGCCAACCATACCCTCATTGTAGATACTCTATATCATTCTCTCTCTTATTCACTTTTTCATCTATTGTCAGCAATTGTTTCCTAAATAAATTTCAGGTCTCTCTAAATATGCCAACTTGGGTAAAGTGTAAAACTCATCAGAGTATGTTTCTTAAGTGGTTACTAACCAATCATTATATTTGCTACTCCATTCTCTCTACAAAGCAAATCAGCCCAAACAATGAAAGTGCATTCTTTGACCATCTCTTAATTTTGGGGTTAATGGATAAATTATACACAGGAGAGCCATATTTTATAGGGGCCAGGAATAAAAAAAAGGGAGATTTCTTTGTTTCTGCCCTTAGAAAACCATCCAAAATGTGTACAACTAATTTTTGGTATTAGTTCCTACCAACATGGATAACTATGTTATAGTGTTCTTTGACTCGGTACTCTTCAGCCATATTCGATAATAATGGCTATCATTATCACTGGCTTTTTTTATGCTGACTGGGGATGATGAGAACTGTAGACCACTCAAAAATTATTAGACTAGGGAAGGATGCTCTATAGAGCTAGATTGATGGCCACCATAACAGCTGAATGTCCAGTTCGGTACCCATTTTTGTTGCAGATATAAAAGGCACCTATATTTATCTAGTGAAATAAAATTAAATAAACAATCACAGGAGTCTTCCAAAAATGTAACATATATCTAAATGGTAAACATATATCATTTTAGAACGGGACCTCCTATTTTTAATACACTACATTTCCATTTCTTACTCGTTTGATGTCAGATATTATCCCTAAGTAATGAATTCCAAGTCTATACTATAATTTACCCAGGTTCAAAATGTAGTATTTTAAACATGGAAAAAGTGCAATTCTGTAACTTCATAATGCATTTGGCATAATTGTAAGTTTCAGAAAAATTATATATAAGCACAAAATCCAAGAACACTGGATTTTGCTTAGGCAGTGAGTCTTGATGAATAATCTTGGATATGTTACTGTTGTATTTTAATTGTGTTTTCTGAACTGTGGCAGAAAAACTAAAAAGCAATCAGGCCACATAGTGTTTAGCAGGATAATCCTTTAACAGCATCTTATTAAACATTAACATTAGCAAATATAGTAATGCACCTAAAGTTTCAGATTTTAGATTGGCAAAGCCAAAACAAAAACCTCTTAATATATAAGCACAAGATGTCCAAATCTCTTAAAATTATTTTTAAGAGGGAGGGGAAATGATTTTTAAAAGGGAGGGGAAAAGAGAATAAAGGATTTATACTAAGGGCAGGTTCATGATCAACTGATCAACTTCTACAAACTCTTAGCAGCTATTAGAAAATGTATATAGATATACACATATATATATTTCTGCAGCTGCCTTCTGCATTGTTTCCTGTAATTTTTGTAACACTGTGCTATACCTAAAATGGTGATAAGTGCATGCAGCATGAGGACATGTACTTATGGGCATTTTTATGCATCAATCCAGAGGGAAAAAACTGAAAGATGGCAGGAATTGTCTTAAGAAAGTCATGCTTTGTACTTAAATCATTAATAGGTCATAATGATTTACTGAATTTACTACTCAAATGTCCCAGCCTTTCTAAAGTTTGCAATACACTAGAGAAGGGTCCAATTTGCAAAACAGATCCAGCTAACTTGTATAAAGTTCAATATATTGAAATATGAGTTTCTTATTTTCCAACACTGGAGAAATGTATAAAGCTGAGCTCTGGTCTCTATTTTGTCAAAAAAGGGTAATCCAATCCCCCTTGGGTTTTTTGTGAACTCTGATCTGGATCTGAAGTTTGCAGATTGGGTCCCATCACTAGTCTTCATGTTACTATGCAGTGATTATGAACTAAGGCATTTATTTGTTTGTAAACCACCTCTGACATTTAAATAGCTTTCCAATTTAACAGCTCCTTAGTTCTCTTCCATGCCAGCTATGAGCATAGTCAAAAAATTACCCTTCAATAGGAAGATTAATTTCATTTGATCCATCAATAGAACGGATGCATTGTTATCGAAAGCACATGTTTTTGGTTTGAAGACCAGAAACAAGGAGGAGGCAACAGAGAGAGACCTAAAAGGATATGGAGATTTCTCAAGGTGATCAAATCTGGGGTGCAAAAATTTGGAGGACCACTGTCCCAACAAAAGAGAGTTACAGTTTTCTGATTCTCTTTGCTGTCATCTAGTGGTCTACCAGATTGTGCAGTTTACATCTGGCAGTCTTACCAAAAACATGACACTTTGGTGCCTCCTCTGTGGAACTAAATTCATTGTGGCATAAGCATTCTTGGATGAAAGCCACTTCTTTGTATGCATATTTTAAAGTGGGCACTAGCTCAAAGAAAGCACATGCCACAACGCAGGGCTGGTTTTGAAAATGCAATAATTTTTTTTTTCCTTATCCTCTCCTTCAACTTGCTACCGTGTTTGTTATGTTTTAAAATTATTTAAAATTATTTTAGAGTGAAATCTTTTTAAGCACAAAATACAAGCAGCCGTTTGTGTCTGATTTTAGGGTCCTCAAAGATTTTTGCAAAGCACACATCCAGATGCTCAGGTGCCCTTTTATTCAAAAGTTCTGAACACCAGCCCACTCTGCAGAGCTCTCTGTCCATTTGGTCAGAATCTGCTTAATGCTTTCTCAGTGGATTGTAATGCTTCAGCCTAAGCTAAATTTACTGTGTACATCTTCCTTCCCTCACCATTGCTGAAAAGATGGGGTAGGTCTTCTAATGCCTCTCCACTGTTTTATTTTCATCTCTGTAATGAACTTCTTATCCACTAATGCAATGTTTCCCAACCTTGACAACTTTAAGATGGGTGAACTTCAATTCCCAGAATTCCCCAGCCAGCATGTTGCCTAGAGAATTCTGGGAATTGAAATTCACCCATCTTAAAGTTGCCAAGTTTCAGAAACAGCTCATTAGAGCCTAATAATTAATTTCTTGCTATTTCATTTTAGGGCTACCATTTATCGGCTGCAAAAATCAGGATGATGACTAGATAGAGCAAAAGGACACAGAAAATTCTTTTTGTTGACATTTGTTGGTAGTCTAGATTTTTGCACCAAAATACAATAGCATTATTTTATTCTATTCTGATGTCACAGCTGAATTTCAATATAGCCAGCTTTCTTAAAAACCAACTTTTCCATTTGCTCTTCCTAAATTTATTACTGTGCGTTAGCTTGCAGATTCCAATATAAATTAAAGAATAAGATTTGGTTTGGTTTCAGAATATCTGTGTTAATTTACTCCATCCGACAATTCAGCCTATTAAAATTTTTAAGGTGACAAGAGACAAATGAATTCCTTAGCTCCTATTTATCTTTTCGGGTATATTTTGGCTGCTATGAGATGTCTAATGTACTATTAAGAATTTAATTCCAAAAACTATGTGTACATGTAAATATGTAACAAAATTGTGTGTATTCTAATTCTTTCAAGATTTGTAAGACTGTTTTTCTACCGAGTGCAAGGAATGTTATTAGCCAAGTGCAGCTGCTTCCCTTTTATCTAAGGTACTGCAGATGTCCTACAAACTCATATTACTAATTATTGCTTGAAATGTGAAAAAGAAGGACAATGGTTCAAATAAGTATGTGTTTGCCTTATTTAAGAGAATCAATAAGAAAAAGGAAACCCAAGAAGAACTCATAATAAAGATGCCTTGGAACTGAATCTTTTGTTTCCATGGTTACTGGAAGAATGGGACCAATAATGGTGAGAGGATGCTAAAGAAAGAAAACTCAGGGGAATGTTGAATCATTTAACCATGTGTTTGCTTGATGAAAATGCAGACATCAGCCACATTTAAACTGCACAATGTATATAGAACTTATTGTTAATGAAGAGAGAGGAAATATTCTCTGCCACCAAGATGGTTTATTTGTACACAGTCCTAGGGTTTTGTGTGTGCGTGCATGTGTTTCCTATATGGACATTTGCTGTTTGGTTGATCATGTGTGTACAAAATATATTCCTGACAGAATATCACCAATTTTGGAAATGTCAACCATCCCAGTTAAAAATAAATATTTATGTTACAAAGAATTCATTTTGTAGAAAGAGGACGAGAAAGAAGAGAGAATACAGTGACAGAATTATAGTCAGATTAAGATTTTTTGAAAAAGAAAATTTCTTCGTCACAAGTCTTCATACATTTATTCCATTGTATTTTGACTTTTCCAATATATTTCTGCTGCTGTTTGTTGCTATTGATAATTATCTGATAATATAATTTGTAACCCATCAAATCAGTGGCTTGCAAATTCCTAGAGGATGTCATGTTAGGGATATAGGATTATTCCTATATCCCTAACATGACATGGGTATTCCTTTTTTGGCACCTAGATCAGTACAATTGGTGTACCTAAGTCACTATTACCTTGTGTACAATATAATGTATGAAAGACACCAGAGAATGGCGATTGAAATCCCTTAAATATTTCAGTCTTTCTCATCTTGGCACTCTCCACAACTTTCATAATCCTGAGTCAGAGTAATCATAGGCTATGCAGAGTGGGGAATGATTGAAGACATATTCACATAGGTGACTTAATTCCTTCTAACTGGCGATTTATACAGTATAACTTGTTTGAGAGCCAGTTAAGCTGCTGGTTTAGAAACCAGGAAACTGGGGTTCTTGACCTCCCTTAGCTATGAAAGCTGGCTGGGTGAGTCTGGGCTCATTGTCTCTCACAATCCAATCTACCTCACAGGATCATTGTTGTGGGGAAAATAAGGCAAAACTATTAAGTATATTTGAGTTCACATACAGGAGTACACACATACATGCACACACACACACACACATGATAAAAATTATAATAATTCAACAACCGTTTCCTGAATGTATATAAAAAATTAAAACATAATGTTGTGCTGATATGTGTCTTGCTATTTCTCAGACATTCTTTCCTTCTGAGAAATAGGTTCTTGTTTTTCTACCTTATAGGTAGTCCTCGACTTATGAACACAATTCAGCCCAGAATTTACGTTGCTAAGTGAAAAATTTGTTAAGTGAGTTTTGCCCCATTTTACGACTTTTCTTGCCACATTTGTTAAGTGAATCACTGCAGTTGTTAAATTAGTAACATGGTTGTTAAGTGAATCTGGCTTCCCCATTGACTTGGTTTGTCAGAAGGTTGCAAAAGATAATCACATGACCCGGGGACACTGGTCATAAATATGAACCAGTTGTCAAGCATCCAAATGTAAATCACATAACCATAAGGATGCTGCAACAGTCATAAGTGTGAAAAATGGTCATAAGTTATTTTTTCAGTGCCTTTGTAACTCGAATGGTCACTAAATAAACTATTGTAAGTCAAGGACTACCTGTATTTCAATTCTCATTTTTTTCTGGGTGATACTTCTGAGATTATTGTTGGACAAAGTGAAATATCTTTTTGTGTAGTTTTATATTGCACATTTTCCTGTCCCTCTGAGGCTTTATTGGTTGCCCATATTTCCCAGTTAGACAATTCTGAAATTGTCATCTTTCCCTAGAATGTCTTTCCTTGGGGCTTAATTTGACCTGCAGGCTACAAGAAGGTTGATTATATAACAGCATTCATACAGTTTCTGAACCATATTCATATTAAGTATGGACAAGAATTTTTTCAAGGAAATTCTACTCTATTGGACCAAATGAAAACTGTTTGAGGACAAAAATAGAGTATCTATGTTCTACCCAGCAGAATTATTTATTACCTTGTTTCAAGGGCCCTATTTTCTTCAGGGTTTCCTATAGAAAGAGTGCTAGCATATGACTTGGTATCTACAACACCACTGTTTCCTATGTCACCACAAGTTAGAAAAGAAGATAGCCTGGCATTCACTTCTGTAAAGCTGAAATTGATCTTATCCATTTTATAAAGTTATCTCCAAAGTTCGTATCTTCCAAAACAAGAAAGACAAAGGTAATATAAGCTAGACTATGATACTGACTTTAGCTGTGGAATGCCATTTGAAATTAAAGTATTAAGGGTATACAAAGATAAAACAAGAAAAAAGGGGGAGGAGAACTTGTATTTTATGCTTTCTCTTGCAATTGGTATACTTTCAGTAGGGAAATATTATAATGGCAACCACCAGAAAAGTGACAAAAACAGTTGAAGGGTGGAGAGAATCACCACAGAAACTTGCGGAGAGAGGAAATACTTTATTTCCAAAAATGTTTGAGGAATTAGGTAATAAATTAGCTGAATCACTGGATACTAAATTGACAGCTTTTGAAAAACGAATAAAGACTTGTAAAGGTAGAAGAAGAAGTTAAGAAGATGGAAAGCACTATAAATAAAAGAGTGTCTGGAGGTGCAAAACAATTTAATGACAAGGTGGAAATTTGGAATTTAAGACAGATGTTAAAGACAGAGAGTTGGGAAAGAGAACCAGATAATTTGCTCTACTGAAATTAATGGAGAAGAAATTTTGTTTGAGATTTAGAGCATCCCAGAGGATTCTGGTGAAGATATTAGAGAAAAAGTTATTAAAGTTTTAAAAATATTTTTGGATCAGGATGAGGGGGATACAGAGGCAGCAACTGATAAAAGTATGTATAATAAGTGCACATTTGGAGGAATAATAAATGTTTCAAGGGATGTCTTGGTGCACTTTGTCAGGAAGAACACAAGGGATCACATTTTGCAGCAGCCTTTAAATAGAATAGAATAGAATAGAATAGAATAGAATAGAATAGAATAGAATAGAATAGAATAGAATAGAATAGAATAGAATAACAGAGTTGGAAGGGACCTTGGAGGTCTTCTAGCCCAGGCAGGAAACCCTACACCACCAAATGGTTATCCAACATCTTCTTAAAAATTTCCAGTGTTGGGTATTCACAACTTCTGCCAGCAACTTGTTCCGCTTATTAATTGTTCTAACTGTCAGGAAATTTCTCCTTAGTTCTAAATTGTTTCTCTCCTTGATTAATTTCCACCCATTGCTTCTTATTCTATCCTCAGGTGCTTTGAAGAATAGTTTGACTCTTTCTTCTTTGTGGCAACCCCTGAAATATTGGAACACTGCTATCATGTCTCCCCTAGTCCTTCTCTTCATCAAACTAGACATACCCAGTTCCTGCAATCGTTCTTCATATGTTTTAGCCTCCAGTCCCCTAATCATCTTTGCTGCTCTTCTCTGCACTTTTTCTAGAGTCTCAACATCTTTTTTATATCGTGGTGACCAAAACTGAATGCAATATTCCAAGTGTGGCCTTACCAAGGCATTATAAAGTGGTATTAACAGGACTGAAGATAATAATAAGTAATTGTTCATAGAAATAAATTGTTATTAGGATTTTGCATAAGGGAAAAGCATGTTCTTTTTTTAATTGATAGATTAAAACAGAAAAAGGGGATGGGACAAAATGAAAAGAGTGATTTTTACTTTTAAGTAGCAGATGTTTCAACTGAACTCTGTTAAAAGGTGAAGAAACTGTTAGAAAAAGAGGGATAGGGGAGATTCAAATGGAGGTATCAGACGAGACTATAAAAAAAACTTCAGCAGGAAACTGAAAGGGATGATACTGAACTTGTATCAGCTTTTCTAAATTTTTGATTAGGGATTACAAACGCTTAATGTGGATTATATATGGATCAAATGCTTCTCAAAAGAGAAAAAAAGTCATTATTTGAAAAAAATTAAAACAAGATATAATTCGTGTACAAGAAATACTAAATATAAAAAGACATAAAACATTTGATTTATAAAAATTTGGGTGAAGAATTTATTTCAGCAGATGCCAAATGATAGGCTGCTATAGAGTGGTCAACGCTTGGAATGCTCTATCTGACTTCCGTTGTTACAGCCTCAAACCCTCACAGCTTCAAGCTCAAACTCTCTACCGTGGACCTCGCCCCATTCCTAATAGGGCCGTAAAGGGGGCGTGCATAAGTGCACTACCGTGCCTACCGTCCCTGTCTTACTGTCCCCATTTATCTGTACTTACTTCCTTTGTTTATCTTTAGGTTTATACCTATACCTGCTATTTTGTACATGTTTGACAAACAAAATAAAATAAACAAAATAAAATAGAAAAAACAATACTGGAGGATTGTAAAAATAAATTAAAATGTTTTGAAAATAATATAGATAAAGATATTAATTTAAAATGCTTTACATGCAAGTAAAGCTAATATTATTACTTTATTCAATTCAATAGTGAATTCAAAAATAAGAGCCAGGGAAAACAAGCTATTTTGGATGAGATAAAATGAAAAAAAAAATTAAGAAAATTTACAGAGAAAACAAGTTATTTCTCAACAAATTAAGCTTTTACAATGAAAGTTATCTATGTCAACAGAAAGAGAAATAGAAAAACATGAACTATGTAAAGCAAAAGTATTGCTGAGTTTGCAAACAAATTGGGGAAGTGGCTGGCATATACATTACAAAAAGAAAAAGAAAGAAAATGGTACTGAAATTTCAAGAGGAAAATACTGTATTAATGGACAAGGTCCATTAATGGACAGGGTCCAGAGACAAAAAGCATATCATCAATATTAGTCTAACTTGTCTAAAGGAAGTGACATCTCTGGAGAAAATAGGTGAATATCTAAAGAAACAAAATTTACCAAGGATTACAGAGGAAGAGAAACGGATTATGAATCAGCCTATAACAATAAGGGAAGTTTCTGAAGCTATATAAAAAGATTAAACCAGGAAAGGTGTCTGGACTAGATGGATTATCATGTTCTTATTATAAATTGATTGAAGATGAACTTTTACAATCTTTGCAAAACAGAATGAATTCTATCTTCCAGAGAGAAAAGAGGCCAGAGAGTTGGAAACAGGCAAATATAACACTAATGCCTAAAAAGTGACAGATTTGACTTTAACAAGAAACTGTAGGCTGATATTATTAGCGAATTATGATTACAAGTTGTTTACAATGATTCCAATTAATTGACTAAAAATAATTGTTTCACAGATTTATTTATAAAGATCAATGTGGGCTTTTACCTAAAGATGGCCAAAGGACAATGTTCGAAATGTGTTGGACATATTTGGAGCAGCAATGAAAAACAAGCCACATTGGTTTCATTAGATGCAGAGAAAGTTTTGGACAATTTAACTTATTTACAGTTTCATTGGTGGAGAAGCAATACAAGACAAATTAACCTCTAAAAAAGTAAATAACATTACCTCACCTCAGATCTCTTCAGTGACAACCCTATATACTCAGCTTTATTAAGCCCCAAACTCATAGTGTCTTTCTTTCTGCCAGCATCTTACCTCCTATTCTATCCAAACATGTGTTATTATTTTTCACCCATTTAACTTGTCTTGACCCTTCCTCCACAGAAAAGAGAAAATAAAGATAAGTCAACTTCTTGAACCTCTTCCTTGCTTTTTTATTTCTTTATCCACACATTTCCTTTCAAAATGTGCCTGGCAACTTTGCCTGTATGAAGATAATCTCCAGCATGCTTCAATTACATTAAATATCTCTTGTTCAAACCCTCAAGCAGCAAACTGTGCCACAGAAATGATTGTTAAAAGCCAGGAGCCCAATCAACATTTTTCTTCTTCTTCTTTTATATTTGGCTCACTCAAATGGAACATGACTCACAAATCATTTCATAGTCCTTGCATTATTTCTGCTTCAATATTCTGATATTTTTTCCCAGGCCACATTTATAATGATTGTGTTTAACATTCTATAGCTTTCCCCTTTTGTCTCTATTAGCAGGTTTCCGAATGTTGGATCCTCCTGCCAATTTGTTGACAAATTGACAGTTCTTCACTGTCCCAAGATCTCCAGCTTCCACCCAGTTTTTGTATCTGCTCAGCTATTACAGTTTATATGCTCTGTAGATGTGTTTCTGGGTCAGGTGTACACTGCTGCTGCAGCAGCTAATCATGTGGGAACCCCGGTGCTTTCATTAGCTGCATACAGTAGGACTCTAAAAGATCTACACATTGATTTTATATTCTTCACAAATTTTGTTGCCTTAAGGCTCATTTAGTAGTTATTTCCATTGCCTGAAGATCTCAGTTTGTTACTGGTTTTGCTGTAAAGTCCACTGCATCTGCTCCAGAAACATAGCTGTTAGTCTTAATTCTTGCTCATGTACTTTGGTTCGTTAGGTTCTTCTGAAAAGCACAGTGTCATTTTTGGAGGAGCAGTTTACTTGTGTGTACCCAACGTCCAAGTAATGAGAAGCTTTAGGGGTTGTAGTAAGTTCCCAAGGTTTAGTTTCCATGGCAAGTGTTCAGAGGAGTTACATATTTTTTTAGGATAGATTCTTTTCACACATATTATCAAGAATTTCCCACAGAGAAATTGCTCCCTTAGACCCAAGTCCACTATGGAGCAATTTCTT